TCTCTGATTGGTCAATCCTCAAAGTGATATTTTTCACTAGAGAAAAATATTACTTTTATCAGTTTGAGATATCCCTATATTTCACTGCTAAAATGTAATAAAATGATCTCTCCAACCATTTCTGATCTTGTCATTATCGCACGAATTACGACCATCTATAATTAGCTCGTTGGCGGTATTAGAGGTTTTCTTTCTCGCACGAACAGCTCTAAAGAGCTTCCAAGTGTCTACTTCAGCGCACATTTCTAATTTACTCAACTGCTCTTTTTTCATATTCCTTTCTAGCTCGGTACAGCTCGTTCCGGAATGTCGTTTTCGCGGCTTTATATTGTTTGTATGACGGGTACTTATTACCACGTGGTCGTCCCATTTCAATCCATTTGGACCGCAAATGTCTAGTTTCAGCATGGAGCGCATTTGCATTACCCAGATTCCAATACGGTTTGAGAAAATGCCTATAGACTTTGTAAAGAAGTTTTAACTCCACTGCCCTCTGTATCGATGACACTAAAGCTTCGCTATAGTTTTTAGAATCCGGTTCCCATGGACAGGTGTATCCACACTTTTATCGGGGTGATTTTCTTGTCATACTCTAGACGTCACAGTAATGATTCAATAACGTCACAATGCCATCCATTGAGATGATACAGAATTGCAATATGAAATAGCTTGAACAGTAATATTGAGGGTGAGATGAATGTTTCATCCCTTTGGCGGTGAGATAGGGGGATCTCCACCCGAGGTAAAGATAATTAAGAAGCTTCGCCGTGTTTGCAAACAACTAACCCGATGGTTGAGATCCCACAACTCACCAACAAGGGGATGCACGATTATATTTCTCTTACACTAATGCCTTAATTAGGTACTCATTAGAATTTTGCCGTACCCGTGCTTCGCATTGTTGACGTGTTTTAATTTTTGACGTGACGTCATATCTTGTTGGGGGAATATACCCGTCTCATCCGGAAGGTGAGACTAGGTCATAGGTCATATCGATATAAAAAAGCATGTAAATAATAATGTAGTTGTGTGATAAATATACATTCAATGTTACCACATCACCTGACAGTGGTGTCATTGGTCAAGGTTGATAAGTCAGCAATCACACTTAACTCCCTTGTTTGAAATAAATTGCACGTTTTACAAGATGTCTCATTTACATGTCATGATATTAAGTTCTACATCCAATTAGAATCTTATCATAAGTCAAGGTTATAAGGTCAGAGGTAATGCTTAAAATGGTCAGCAGATGGGGATATTTTTCTAATGCAAGTCCATGCTTAATTTTTGTAGTTCAAGTCCCTATCTTTCAAAGTTTGGAGTCCCAAAGCAGACATAACTGAGGCTGTGATTACGATAATAATAGTACACATTATTTATTTTACAACAATTCGAAGTAAGCTTTTTCCAACTTATATTAATCACTCTTTTTGGCCTAGATGGATACAAGTGGGAGGAAACCGGATTACCGAGAAAAACCCACCTGGTCGGGCAGGTGACCCCATGCCTCATCCATTCCGGGAATCGAACCCCGGACAGCTAGGTGAAAGGGAGTGCGTTACCTCAGTGCCATCTGACCAAATATGTTGAAGAATAATGAAGACAGAGATATTGAAACTATTGTACAATTGCAGAAAAGATACATATTGAATGTTGCGGTGATTTCAGAATTATGAAAAAAAAAAAAATTTAAAACTAGAGCTACTTGCTTGATGCCAAAGTACAAAAATACTAACGCTGTAGACTTGAAATGACTAAAAACTGTCTTCTAAAGATAAAGATCGAAGTCTGTGATACGCTTGTACAAAATTGGAAATATCACCGGTCTACGAGTACCATTATATGTAAATATTTCTTCTCTCTTTTCGGAAACGACAAGAGGATTAAAAGGAGTCTTATTTATAAAATGCTCTAAAATGGATAAACACCTGATTATGTTCACTTTTTCCTTCCAAGGTCAATAATTGTGACGGACAACAATTACAGGTCTCAAAATTATCACATTTTCTCTTACTTACGCTCATTTATACCTTACTCTCTACAGAATGACCTGGATGTAGTGACTTGGACTTCACTTTCCCAAGCAGGAGAAATCTGACAGATGTTTCTGAAAGAAGGGGTGATTAGTATCATAGTGTATTTGAATGTTTGGGTTTAGAAAATGAAAGCTTCCCATTGAAATTAATCCTTAGACATAGGGTGATATAATTAAGAAATATTCTGTCATCTAAAAAAATCTTTAAAAAAATCTATGTACCTTCATTAAAAAAATCATGTATGGTTTTATCAAAGAATATTACATCTATGATACATTCTTCCATCTGTAGTCACATGTGTACTGTAATACTTATACTATTGATCTCTGTATACTATTTGTAAAGCTATTGGGATATCACAAAACTTGTAAATTGAAAGTAATATAATTATGTACCATATTTAAGACAATCATGTAGCCTATCAAATTACGATTTGTTTCAAGGTGATCTCACTAATCATACTCACAGATGTGGAAATCATTTTAAGAACAGAGATACTTACTTGATCAGTTAACTTAAGTGAGAATGTTTATTTAGAACCATTGACAATATAATTGTATAAATTTCAGGCACTTACATCATTTACATTAAGTATGAATGTTTCGATTGAAGACATGTAAAATTAATACTGTCCTGATTATCGCATGTTGTGATTATTTCATATTGACTTACAATAATAATAGTTTGTGTCCATTGTCACTTTTGTGAAAATATAATATGTTTTTGGACATCAGTTCTGAGATGGATTTGGCCTAGCTCTCTCATTTCTTTTTTTTGTCATGGATAGACTTAGATATTTCACGTTTTGCCCAGTCTCACATTTTCTAGAAAACATAAGTTCAAGCTCTGAGCTGTCTCAGTGTTTTGGTATCTTTGACCTTTATAATGACAAAGCTTTTAAAACAAACATCATATCTCATAGTATGTTTGTCTTCGAGTTCTGTCATTTATATTGTCCATTAATGCCATACACCTACCTGAAGTCAACCAATTACAAACTCACAGGTCGTTAAAAATACACTCCCTGTAAATCATATAAAACAGCCTCTCTACATCTCCATCATTATGTTCCTCGTCTGATATCTCTGGTGTCACTGGTAATACATTGATTAAATAATTATGTATTTGATGATACGCTCAAGAATATGCAAATAGAAGATGACAATGTAAAACAAGAGGTCTAGCGGCCTGCACGGTCTGCTGAAATAAGCAATGTTGAATATAAAAGGTTAAAGGAGAGTTATCAAGTGTCATGAAACAGAAATTGTGACACTAAATACAGTGTTAATGCATACATTCCATGAAAACTATCATTCTATACTGATAATTCTTATGAAGTTATTTCCAGTGGGAAATAATCAAGGCTATGCTCAAAAATACAAATTTTCTATGAAAATTACAGTAAAGTCTGAAAAAAAATCACCGCAAGGAAGAAATGTGAGACTCATTTTGGTAATTAAACACCTTAAGATGCTTCCATTCAGGAAGAGCATTTGATTCTACCATAACTGGGTCTTGAGAAAAAGCTTGAGGGTCAGTCAGGGTCAAAATGGGCATACCATCAAGTCGTCATCCTTCACTCTTAAGTCTAATCAAGTCTGAAATATTTCCAAGTGAAATTAAACAAATTATGCTAAAAATCTAATTTTCTGATAAAAAACTATAAACTTTATCCCCTCCCACAGGGAAATGCGAGACCCTGGGGCCATGAAATTCACAATTTTGGCAAAGCACCTCAAGATGCTTCCATTCATGAAAAGCATCTAATTCTGTCATATTTGAGTCTTGAGAAAATAGATTTTTGCAATATAAGTCATTTTGACCCCTTCAGGCCCCTCCCATCAGCCCCTGGGGGTCAGTCAGGATAAAAATGGGTATACCATCAAGCCATCATCCTTCACTCATAATTCTAACCAAGTCTGAAATATTTCCAATAGAAATTAAACAAATTATGCTAAAAATCTATTTTTACAATATAAACTATAGTAAACTTTACCCACTTCCCAAGGGGATATGTGAGACCCTGAGGCCATGAAATTCACAATTTTGGTACAGCACCTTAAGATGCTTCCATATATGAAGAGTATTTGAATCTACCACATCTGGGTCTTGAGAAGATTTTTTAAATATGAGTCAATTTGACTACTTTTGGCCCCATCCCTCAGGCCCCTGGTGGGGTGGGGGTGTTGATGGGGTGTCTGGAGACTGTATAATTCACAATTTTGGTTCATCTTGGGTCAGGGAAGGTTTCTGCAAAATTTCATTGAAATTGGATTTGGGGTTTTTGAGAAGAAGTCGAAAGTGTTAAATTGTTTATGGACGCATGATGCCAGGTCAAGGGTATCAGAATAGGTCACCGCAGGACTTTGTGTTGCCAACATTAAATTTGTTGGCCAGATTTTCCAACAGGTAGGCTAATAGCATACATATGAGAACAAAATCTGGGCTAACTTGAAAGTAAGGTCAAATTACCTCGTACTTTTCCAGTGCACCTGTGAATCTTTCTTTTGTTCATATATTTTCTTACTTTAATAGAATTTTGAGTTTTCAGTAAAATTATGTTAACGTGCTGTATCTTCATTTTGTTTGATCTTTTATATTATGATTAGCGGAAATACTATTGTAATGATATAGAGCATTGGACTAATGTAATCTTCGGTAATCATTTGTAGCATGTGGCTAATTATTATTCAGGGCGGTTTGTGATTTTTAAGCCGATATCACAGACTCACTCCTCTTTGAAGTCTTGGCTATCTCTATGGGCAGGACACTTAATTCTTACTGCTTCTATTTGAAATGAATCAATGACATCATATATATTGTACATAATAGTTTTCACATTTTCACATCAATATATGAACTGAAGATGACCTTTATTTATTGACCTGCTGTGGGATAATGTTAAATGATCCTAGATACTGTGTATTAAAAGACAAAGTAAAAATATGACAACAAATAAGTGGATCAGAATCACAAAATTATATATTTTTAATAAAGAGAAGAATATATACCTTACATAACCTGGTACATGGAGAGAATTTCAAAACTGCGCAAAGCTAAAGTCTTCATACTGAAGATTGTTACCTTTACTGACAAATTTTACTTATTCTAGCTTTTTTTGGCATAAGCGACTAACGTCAGCTAAGGAAAAATATGAAGATAAGATATCATCCCTTGTATCCAAATAAAAATCCTTCACAGTTCAAACAAACCAACCATATACACACAAGAGTTTTTTTATCGTTTATTACACCACAAAAAATTAGGTGTTTTGTAATGTGATGTTTTAAATACAAGTTTATCATCACAATCATGAGTCTTTTGATCGGATGATTTTTGCATATCGGTGTTGTGTATGAGAAAAATTCTTGATTATAAAACATTCATGCAGAGAGAAAAAAGACAGCAAAAAATTGATGTATATACCAACTGATTATTCAGTAATGAAAGCAGCAAAAAGGTAAAGAAAATTAAAACATACCTCCATCCTTTGATTTTCAAATTAAATAATAACATAATGAACATGTGAGATTGATATTATGTTACAAATACAATATCTATTGAACTCTCCACAATGATTGGCATTGAAAACCAATATTGAGGAATAATTAAAGGTTCCTGTAAAGTGAATGACCTCTTCAATCCCATTATATTTGCAATCTTTCGTCTTATAGCACTCGATATGAGAGTTTAAATTGAGGGAAATATATAGCTTTTAAAATTTTTAAAATAAGGAAAATGTGAATCCATTTCTCAGCAAATTTGTATTTTTACTCTGACTGAAAATATAGCGAGTAATAATGTTGTTATAACCTATATGGAATGTAATGTTAGAGACTCATTTTTCATATTTATACAGTATAATTGGCAGTGAAACAATACAATTGGATGTCAACACCACAATTCTTTGTATTTCTTGTTTTTTGTAAGCACAGTTGCAGATAGTCATATTTTATAGCTGACAGTACAAGTATTGCACAAAGAACTAAATTCAATTTGAAATGAAGGTCTCTGTGTTGGTAACAGCAGTGCATACATTAATATGCTATTCCAGAGGTTGAGTGTGAGTGTACTGTAGCAACTGTCTTAAACTGTAAATCTTCAGGCCAAGTATCAAATAGCAATTTAACAATGGCTGAAAAATACCTATTTTCTTGATTAGGTGAACAACTTTGTTGAAATCAAAATAGATATCGTAATTTAAGAATACCATGACAATCATAATTTTAATCAAAACTTACAGGAGAAATTAAAAGTGTTGTGCACATGTTTGTGGTGCTAATCTGAAATACAGTTGTAGCGCACGTTAACTTTCTGAATATATATACCTACATCATAGAGAAACCATCTTAATACAGGCTTTGATTGTCTTGAGTAATATACCTGCTGAAACTTTCCAAAATATCAGACATCCATCTACATCAAAGTCATGACAAATGCTTGATCAAACCGATGTTCAAGAGAAGGGCAAGAAATATGTAAATCAATAGCACCAAATGATATATCCAAGTTTCAAATGATATCACACTTGAAATTCACCTGGTTCTGCAAAAACAGCTTTATTCCAAGAATTAAGAGTCTGAGTCAGATTGCAATGCCCATGGGAATCAGGTTATCTTCAAAACTACAAATACATTTGGCTTACAAAAATCAGCTCTAGTCTACCGAGCTTCGGTCGACATAGCTACAGATGGTGTCAAAGTGCAAGCTCTGACAACTAGCTTGTCATGCTAATGAGAATATTCATGTAGAAAGAATGAAAAATAAAAGAATGCATAAATTACCTCTTATTCCTCCCCTAATACATACTAAACTTCTTATTTACATTCTAATTAAGAGTAGCCAATGTGCATGAATGCTGCAGTACATAAACCTGCAAAAATATTTGCTGAAAATGTTATTTTCTTAAGTCTTTGACATGGCATTATCAGAATGGAATTTTTTAGTTTTTTTTTTATCCAACTCAGTCGATGGATTGCTGGAGTAGAATGTTACATAAAACATGATATTGCATAAATATTATAAGCCTCAGTATGATGATATAGATAGCAAGACATCAAAGCCGTTCCGGTGGAAAAAAAGAGGTACCAAGTTTTAATAGGGAAAAAGACAGGGGAAAATGCTTATTTTCATTTCTGGAAAAAACCACAATACTGTGTAGGACAAAATCTACTTTGATGAATTATTCAAAACATTTTGGACAAAGGAAACATCATATTTCAAATGTAAATTAATTTTTTTTCCCTCAATATATTTAGTCCATACATCTGCCTAGATTCAGTGACTGAATATTTACTGGTTGTCTGTACATTTACTCAGACATGGTGACTGAATATATAATTTATACAATCAGTCTATACAATCATCAAGACTCACTGAACAAATATTTAATTTATACAACTATCCAGACTCTGTGATTGAATAACGAGTCAATACCACTAAGACTCAGTAACTGAATATTTTAATTTATACACAAAAAGACTTCACTGATTTACATTACTATTACCATTTCTTAAATAGATAACATATGCACATTTTAACCTACAACTGAGCTGATTATAAGTCATTTTACTACACATTATTTATAGAACTCTTCGTGTAATTCTGACACTAATATAACACATACAGTTTTACAATAACATCAAAAACCTCACATATACTCACCTTGTCCACTATTCTTTACAACCGTCATCCCTAAACATGTCTCTGACTCATACAAGCAAGATTACTATTACATAAAACTAAGTTGAAACAGTGTATCAAAAGTGAAAATTGTGTCCTGCTCATCTGTTGTGCTTCAAACTTGAACGAATTGTGACACAATAAATTTACACAAAAAACACACTTTTCAATAATTCTTTTTCTGACAAAAAAAATATTTAAATGTTATTTTTCATCATAATTTTTCTCCAAAATTAATTCTTTTATTTTTTGTTCATGAAACTAAGCCAAAATCAAGATTTTTTAAAACCTTGTTTTGAATTTCATTTAATTTTTAATATAATGAACATTTTCAGATATGAATCAAGATGTAATAGTGGAAAAGAAAAAAAAATTCTTTGAAAAACCAATGTAATTATACCATATATTACATACACTATGTCTTTATAGACCTAAATGTTTCTAGGACTCAGGACAATTTTTTTTCTTTTTTTTTATATATACAGGTGATTTCCAGGTGAGAATTCCCTGGTTCTCTGGATATAATGTATTCAATTTTCTAATCATTCTCAATCATCACAAACAATTCACAAAATACTTGCTTGTTCCTGTAAACCTCCAATCAGTTCAGATTGGCAGATAATTCAAACATATTCTGTCCACTGATAGTGTGAACACTTTCTATTATTGTTTTACTATAATTTAAATTGTAAAAACATATCAAGTTTGAGATATACATAGTAACTATTGAAAGGACAATATTGTCACATTAACTGCTTGATGTGGTCACTATTCATATCACCTGTAACAATGCTGGTTGAATGTTATGTTATCACAAATTACACATGTGTGTGTCACTTGACAGTTTGATTTCTTCCATCTCTATTAGTATCACAATGCATTCACCAGCTTTCACAACTTGAGACCACAATTCTGTACAAGAAATCATCTGTTATAACAGCACAGAGTGTTTGCATGTGTATTGGTGCAGCAGTCTGGACTGACCGCAGGTTTACAGAACTTAATAAAATTGCACATATTATCTGTTGTATTCTTGAAGTCTTGTAAATATCTCTCTTTTCAACCATGACAACATAAGGACAAGAACTGACACAGATCTTGTCAGTGATTGGTTGACAATGAATGCAACACTTCATCTGATAGGCTCCTCAGGTTCCTTGTAGACAGCATAGCTGTTTTCAACAAAGACCGTCATTCTTCAGATTTCATGAGAGGACTCAATGTCATATAATCAATGCCAACATCTGTGTTCCAAATTCCTGTCAATAAAAGAGAAAATATGTCAATTGTTTTTGCCACAGTTTTGTTACATGCAAATCTGACCTATTTAAAGCCTTGAAACTCATTCAAAGTATACTACAAACAAGGACCAGCAGTTCTTTATTACAAAGATAAACTGTACCACTCTCTAAACAGAGACTAAAAGTTCACATCACTACAATTGAAGCTGTATAAATAATAATGTTATTTTGAATACAAATTAATTTTATTTTCTGAAATCAGTCTCACTGTCAATCTTAATGAGATACCTTTCTCTTCATGAATCTTGTGTAAGGATGACATTGGACAACATCATAGACTTTTTATGATATCTTCATTTAAGATGTTTGAACTTCAGTATCTTGAACGCACTGTTTTGTACACACTATATCTGTACTAACACTTTAGTACTTTCAAGGTTGCTATGATGTTGACAACAACATTTTACTCAATAGCATAAAACTCTCTGTCCAGTCTATTTGACTAACACTGTGCTAAATACCTGTACTTATGCTGAGCAGGTACGATATCAGAACTACTACATATTCTACGTGGGCTGATTAGGGTTTAAATTCATTTGGTTTTCAATGATCTGGAACATCTCTCCTGGGGCTGGGATTCTTCCTGTTTGTAGCTTAGACCAGATAGGGACATCTGTGATAAAGTAAATAAAATAAAATATAGAAGCTATAAATGATATAAATATTTAACTGTATATATGAAATGTTCTAAACAAAACAATATATCTCAACAAGAAAGTAAAAATAAAAAGAAATAAAAACCATGAATACCAACAGATAATGAAATTTCAGTAACCATAAACATGTATCAATTTATTAATAAATTTTATAAAAACCATTACCATATTCTACTACTTTACTTCAGTCATAAGACACTCACCATTAAATGTAACTTCAAAGGCACCTGTAGATATCATTTGTCCTTCTATTGCATTGCTGATGAAGAATATCATTAAACAGGCATAGATCTACAAATGAAAACCACAATCTCAGTACAATTTAACTTAATGTCAAATGTATGTACCAATAAAGATATTAATTATTTATTGACACTAGAGTTTGGAAATGAACCAAAAGATAATCATTGAAGAAATATAGAAAATCATAATTTCCTACTGCAAGAGACCAATCTTCTACAAAAGATACAACAGTTAAAATTATCAATATCCAGCCATCAAATGTTACTGTTATCAAGATCCTATCTGGTGTTAGAAATCTACTATGTGCCAGGGGGCTTAGGAAACACCAATTAAGAATGTGGGTTGTGTGAGACAAATTCAATCACATATGTTGTTTTGAGCTTTCATTTGAGGTATACATACAATAAAGTCATTGCTACAGTACACCTGTACTAATAAAATTACAATAGTTATTGCTACAGAACTTCGGTATACCACTATTATTGCTACAGGACTGTGGTATACCACTATTATTGCTATATTACTTTTGTATACCATTAATATTGCTACAGTACTGTGGTATACCACTAATATTGCTACAGAACTGTGGTATACCACTAATATTGTTACCAATTGCTACAGGACCCCTCGCGCGCTAATACATCCGGGCCAACAAGAGTGATAATATTGTACTGTGGTATAACTGTTTAAATAACTTGTTTCGCAATTGTTGTAAAACAAATAAAGTTTATATTTATATTAATATTGCTACAGTACTGTGGTATACCACTAATATTGCTTCAGAACTGTGATATACCACTAATATTGCTACAGGACTTTGGTATACCACTAATATTGCTACATTACTGTGGTATACCACTGTTATTGCTACAGTACTACAGTACAGATGGGTCCTAGGCCGTCCGCATCGATACATGAGAGTATGCAGGGGAATGATACGATAGGGTGAGCAAAAATCCGGAGAATCAGCCACAACAGGTTCAAGGCAGTATCTAATAATTTGCTAGTTATCGTCTACTGGCTTCGCCCTAAAACCTGGGCTTCAATAGGACACATTATCGTAAACTTTCTTTCCTAAGGTACTAAAATAAATTTTTTTATATTTCTATACACTCTCCATCACAGTTATGTCCTATCATGCAACAAATGTTAATGTTCATCAAGACAAAAATGGTAGACAATGATTTCAACTTGTAGTTCAGTATTCTATAATCCACATATAATTATGCTACAGTACTGTTTTCACCATATGCATTCTACTATAAAGTAATATATCTGACTGCAGTCATTCAATAGCATTGTCAAAATTAAGACCAGTATACATACCTTGTTTGAGATAGCCCAAGTGAATATGCTTGGAGTCTCCATGTTGAGGTGGGGGAAGGGGTTCTGTCCTGATACGATCATGGCAATGATTAAGAGCTTTGCTATACTTAGAAATTGTGCTATTGCGGCTTTACCGGAGGGCGGCGGATAATTGTCACCCTCAACGATTAAAGACGGAAAGCGCTCTTGAAGAGCATGGAAATACTGGTCATAGACCTTCCGGTACCCTCAGGAGTAACTGTAAAACAATACACACCAGATCATTACAAAACATTAACTTATATTTTTGAAATTTTCATTAATATCAACACATTTTGCTATTACAAAATCTTGTCAAACTGGTTGTTATGAACCTACCAAAAAGATTGACAGCAATTTTCAAAATAAGTCTGAAACTTTGGTTGCCAGAAAAAATGAATCAACTTATTTAGTTAAAGAAAGTCCTCATAAGTTAAGAGAAATTTATAAGCATCAAAATATTTTAAACCATATACAGACATGGCCTCATCAACACAATTTTAACATTTTAACACATTTATCAGCAAAGCTGTTTTAAGATCATTTTGGGATTTCCTCTGTGTATTTTGTATTTTTGTTTATTGAGTCTCCCATTGCTTAATATTGTTTAGATGTAAATGCCAATTAGGGTTTAGATACAGATTGCGGATAGCAAGCTGCAACTTTTTGTCTGATAACAGTATAACACGTTGCATTGGTATTGGTACAAAATATAAAAGTCACCAAAATGCTATAAGAAGTTTTAACCTTTTTAAAAGATATTTCTTGTTTTTGTATGTAAATTTATATTTTATGTGTTTGAAAAAATAAATAAGCTTCTCAAAGAACCACCCAACAGTAATAATCTGGTTGTGTGTGTGTGTGAGTGCAGACTTTTTCACTTCTTAAGTATGGGTTTTATATAAAAATATATATATACATATATAATATCTTCTGTAAAACTTAATGATTAAGTAAATACAGCAAAGGTGATAAAGATTTTTACAAAAAGTGAGACTGAATTATTCTCTTCTTTTGTAAAATTGTACAATGTTGCATTGGTTGTTGGGCCATGGCAATATGACAATCTCCTTTCTTGTTGCAAAAATAACTATATTTTGTTTCCATTTTAAATGACCCTGCATTTGGGTAACTAACTGATTACTTAAAGCAGTAACATTTCCTCAAAGGCGACAGCATTACCCATATGCGGGTTGTTGCCTTACCTGTTAACATTACAGTAGAATTAATTAAAACGAAGAACACGTCATCTTTCCCATAAATTTTACAACATTCGAATATATATACGACAGTAAGTCACTATAATTACATTTATATATGTAAATACCCATATACACACACACACATAAATACGAATGACATGCTATTCCAGACACATCGCGAATATATAATACAATTTTCAGGGTGATAGTTCTAAAATGCTAACACTATCTGCGTTGTTTGAAAGATCACATGACACATTGACGAACATTGAAGCTTACCAAAACAAAAATTTGATCGTTGGTGCTGCCATTTTAGCAAACTTAGGAGCTTTGATGTCTTTGTGTACATCATGTGTCGTTTCTGTGTGTGTTAGATCTCTCCATGTCAGAAATATAAGCGCTGCAAATACAGCGACCATCGAAAAGTGGCCCATTTCGGCCATTACCTGAGGGCTGTACAAAATTACCATCAACATAATTTCATTTTTCCGAAACGAATTCCATAATTACATCTATAATTCACCTTTATGGTGAAATATTGCTGATTTAATACAATGGTGAAATAAATATTGTTTATAGAGGTTGTTTTCAATAAAGATATTATCTTACTTAAAAAGTAATTATGTCACTTTTTCGTCTACAATTTCGAAATGTATAGTTACATTGAAAGAGCATCCATCAAAATGGCCGCTCCTGCAAAGAGTACGCCGCGCGATGCACAGGTTATGGCAGCTATACTGAAAGATATGGGGGTTTTGGAATACGAACCACGACTAATTAATGCAATGTTAGAGTTTGTCTACAGTGAGTATATTTTTTTCATGATAGCGTTTGAATGCATTCTTTAGTTCAAACTACCTTTCAAATGAGATGCACAGCATCGTTCTTGCGACTCCAGTTTTGACGAATTTGTTAAAATGTTGGAGGTTTTACGCGGCTTTCGACGCAATTATGTCAGATAATAAAACGGCGACCAGCGTCCTGTTATGTTATAAGATTAGTGCTTTGATGAGAGATAGTTAAATCAGATGCAGGGTCATTCGAAATAAAAAAAAAAAACTTTTGAGTTCTCTTACAACAGATGAGGTTGTCATGATTTCAACATGACCCAATAGTCACTATGACGCCAGATATATTTGCATAAGAAAAATTGATTTCAGCTATCTATCTTGAAAATAAAAATTTATATCACTAACTTTGTTCTCCATTGACTATACAGTGTAAAGTCATTTAATTTCGTGAAAATGTTATAGGTGAACATGTAATTGCATGTGATTTATTTTCAGCCACACTATTAGCAGTGAAGATGCTAAAGTTTCTGATTAACCAAAAAGCAAGACAACTGAATAATGTACGTTTGTGTACCATCATTGGTTATTGAGCCTTGTCAGAAATATGCCAATTTTTGTTGCAAATGTTTTAAAGTATAGTATGAAACCTTCTTGTAAATCTCACATGTTGAGGCTAATAAGATTTTGATATGACCACTTTTGGCAAGGTTTGTATTGACCTAATGAAAAATCTGTTTTAAATTATTTTGAGTATCTACTCTATATCAGGCATAAATATGCCCAACCCTCTGAAGAAAGCTTGAGAGTTTTCATGATTGTAATTTATGAATAAAGAATCAGTTTGTGTTTCGACTTTTGAAGTTTCAGTTTTGTCATTGCCCAAAAATCTTGAAGTGTCCTAGCAGGGCAGGAAACTACCGGTCAGAAATGGCATTTTCTTGAGGGGCAGGGTTTTTTATTATAAAATTATTCATCTTTTGAAACACTGTACTGCAACACTTGTTAATTGACTGTTAAGAAGTCACAGTTTTCATTTTGATCATCATAACTTTGGATACTGTGATGAAGAAACCTAAAATATCTATGAATTTTACAATTATTGAAAGAGTCTTGACATGATTATCTTCTAAAATGTGAAGTAAAACAATGGTGTTATTTGACAAAACACATGCCAACATCCCATGGTCCATAAACATTTACCGATTGCTTAGCTTCGAGAAACATGATGAGATGAGAGAACCAACACTCTTGAAGTTTAAGAAAGCGGCAATGTTCCTGAATGGAGACCATGCAGTATTCACTAGAGTTCCTTGTTATGTATGTAACATATTAGTAAAATAAAGGAATCTCAACATCTAAGAACGTTTCTTCTTTTTATTCTGATATGGTAATCATTGACATGTTTCGACCGCTATGCGGCTGTCATCGGAACGACTTTACAACGTAATTTACCCCTAAGATGCTGATTTGCAGTTCAAATGATGACATCATAATTAACAATACTTAATGGTAATAATTGTGAAAAGGCAATTGCATTTACAAAGTGGGTGTAAATATGCCGGTTTCTTGGGGAGTAACACTGGTTGATCTAGAGTAGTTTTGTCCTCCCCAGAGGTTTCATTTTGTGGTTGGGCAAGATGTGAAATAAATCACACTACTCATCAGTGCTATTTAAGTGAAATGTATGTGTATATTATGATGTTATCAATTGCTTACGATGGTTATTTACAATCTGCCACTCACAGTGTTTTTATGTCAATGTGAATAGTGACATCATGAGTGATTATTGTGACACCACTGCAATATCAATATTAAGACTTGCAGTCTTGTGCTATGTTAGAACAATTCAAAATGTATGTGAAACAAAACAGAAAGGGTTCAAACTATCACTAGACAGAAAATTTTCATATTTAAAAAATCATGTGTTTGAACTACCTGCTTATTCGAACTGACCGGAGGTTTACCGTATCTGACAACATATAGTCATGGAGTTGGATATCAAATCTCAAGCTTAAGGTAATAAAGGTTTTTTCTTTGCTTTTTCAGGATATGTCACAGATATTTTGGATGATGCTAAAGTATATTCCACTCATGCAAGCAAGAAGAACATTGATCTTGAAGATACCAAGATGGCTATTCAGTGTAGAATGGACCATTCCTTTACCTCACCACCACCAAGAGATGTAAGTGATTTGAAACAACACTGAATCCATCTCCTTTGTATATATATGTAAATGTTAAAAAGTTCTGGATAAGATACTACTGAAAAAGCCTTTACAAAGGGAGAACATATGAAAACAACAAGTAGCAAATTTGTAGATGTGGTGTACACAGTGTGTGTTTGGGCTCCCATTTTTTTTTCTCTTTTTTTTTTTGTTCCTTTTTTTTAAAGCCTAACCTGTGTATATATTATCTGTGGTAAGTTCATGTACTATTACTTTGATTTATTTGTTGAAAAATGATGAAAATATGAAATGAATACAAAATCTGTGGAATTGAAGACTGTATCTAAATTAACATGGTATTTGCTGGTCACCATTCTGTTTTATACTGATTATAAGAAGCTTTGTCACCAGCCTAATGTTTGATGTTAAAGTACACTCTGGTCTCCTTATTATATGTCAAATGAAACTAGAAGCTTGCACAAAAAAAAGAGAAATTTTACATCAATCTGATGTAACAATAAAGAGCAATGGAATCTCTGTCAATGCCATTTTTTGTTGCTGTGAAATGTAGATCTTGAAGATATAAAAACATGATAATTGTGAAAAGATCTCTCTCTCTCTCTGTTGCTGGAGAAATCAGTTATATAAGATGAATTGATGTCAAATGGAGTCACCAGTAAAACTTTTGTGTCTCATAAATTTGCATTGTTATTGAAAAATCATTATTTCTGCTTGAAGATGAAATCACTGTATTTTCTGTACATTGCAACTTATCATCTACTGAACACCAGGAAAAAAGGGTTTGATATATGTTCTCAGATCAGACACAATGTGACAGGGTCAATGTAGCCTATTCATGGTGGTTTTCTCAGGATCCCTTTGTTGCTTCTTACAGTGAGATCCCTTTTGTTTCATCCAGGCCAACAAGAGTGATTGTACAAGTTGGTTTATCATATAACTTACTTCATGTAAAATAGAGATTTTTTTATGTATACTAGTATATATATTTTGTATGTGTTTTTGATAAGTTTTCAAGTTCATATTGCTATTTTTGTTTGTTTCTTTGTAGCTGCTAATGGAGATTGCCAAACACAAGAACAGTCAGGTTTTGCCACTGATCAAACCTTACACAGGCTTGCGTCTACCGCCAGATAGATATTGTCTCTCTGCACCAAATTATAAAATGGCTGGTCACAGAGTGTCAAAGAAGGTAAGTATAGGGACTGTGAAAAAAAACAAGTAAAATGAAGAGACCAGCATTAAACTTATACTTGTTGCTGTATAAATGGCTTTTCATGCAAACTTTTTACCACAAAATTAATGGATTTGTTTATCATTCTGGTCTGTATGAACCAATGGGATGGATGTTGTATTTATTGTTTCAGTTTGAAATAAGCTGGAAAAAGTTGGGCAAAAAAATTTCATAATTATATTACTACAGATGTTAGTCATTCTTTGAAATTAACAGATAGAACAGGATATTTTCAATGACATGAGAATAAATTATGAACTTACCAACCTTAAAGTTGATAGAAATTCAATGTTGTCTTCTCCTAAACAACTATGAGACATCTAGTCATTGAGTTATTTTTTAAAATCTTATAGTTATTTTAGTGAAATTTGTAAAATGGTTATTGTTATCAAAGGGCATTGCTACCAAAGACACATGTTTGTATGTTTGTTCAGTTTTATAAAATTGATCCACTTTCAATGTTAATTGTTTAACCTATTGCTAACCAACTTAACTAACATCCAATGTAACTGAGATAAATGCCAGTTACATGAAGAACTTTCTTGGTAATACTTAGCCTTTACAACCATGTTAAGTTGAAAGTTAAGGTTGAAGACTAGATGACCTTGATACACTGTGAAGGTTAGAGGGTTTGAAGCACAAGAGACCACAATACTCATGTGTCGGTATATTACATCATCAGCTTGTCAGGTAGAAGATTACTTTAACATTTATTAAGTACGTTCACTACTACCAATGAACATGAAATCAGAATGTACATATGGTTGATATTTCCAAACCTTTGGAGGGAAAAACTGATTTACTCAAAGATATTCTCATTTTCATTTATACAGCATCAGTCAAGACTACAGATTGGGATGAATCAAATTCCTGGAGGATCACTATCTCATCAGCGTATCAACATCACACCACATGGTTTGTATTCAGATAAACACGTCCCATACTCAATTTGTGGGAGATATTTTCGTTCTTGAAAGAAAGACTTTTTTTCAAAAGATAACTTATAGTCATCAATTACTTGAAATAAAATATAAGACAATGTAGGTACCAGTTGTACACTTTATATACTATAAAACATTATAATACATAAAGTGACACCATAGTTTGTAACAGAATTTAAAATATAGTGTAAATAAACTATGATATCATAGTATAATTAATACATAATGTAGTATATTATATGATATATTGTAGTATATGTTGTATCATAATCTAGGGTACATTCTAGCATATAACAGTTATATACTATTAATAGTGCCATATTAAGCATTGTTCCAGGATTATAAGAAATGATGATGGTCAACTTTTAAATTTAAAATTACAAATCTTGACATTTGATGTTGACAATTTCAAGTCAGATTGATAAACTAATTTAGTACAAAGAGATGTGAAAGGTTCAATGAGATTTGTTACAAATCCTATTTAGGTGCACTTTAAGTACACACAAATGTCAAGGGTACTCTTTATTTCAGGCAAAATTGGTGGAGGTGGCCTCACTGTAGTTACAAAAAGTGTTTCCATCCCAACAGTTACCATAGTTACCAAACCATCATCACAGCCAACTGTTCTTACAAAGCCAGCCATCAGAATAGCAGGAGGTTGGTTACAGCTTTATTATGTAATATAAATAATTTATTACAGTTTATAAGGGTAAACCACTTATCAACCTCTCATATCATTTGTTTAAAAATGCATCTTCTACAAGTAATATTTTGAAAGTCACTTTCATAATCATCTATTTCATTATTAATCATATGTTGGAAACAGTGTTTTTGAGGTACTCATTATGCACTTTAAATTGATACTGTTTAAAAACCAGGAATATGCAGATAGGTCTGTAAGTGGTAGATTTGTACACCTCACCTCCTCTGTAGGTCTGTAAGTGGTAGATTTGTACACCTCACCTCCTCTGTACAAATCCTCTTAGGAGAACTGATAGAAGAAAATGTTAGCCCAAAAGTCCTCTAAATATATGTATTGCTGAAACATTTTAATTGCAATATACTGACTGTTGTTTTTGTCCAGCTTTCACCATTTCAAAGGAAGAAGAAGAGGGCAAATTACAAATAATCAAAACCAGAGTTATTTTCTTATCATTTGCAATATACAATTTCTGTGACATTAAGACATAAACTGTTTATATCAGGTCTATTAAAAGTGGCTGTATACTGAAGTTTTTTTTCACAAACTCATGAAAGAAAAAAAATGTATTTTTCTACAGGAGGATCATTGGCATCATTTGCTCCAAAGATGAAAATGGCAAGTTTACCACAGACATCACCTTCTGTCTCGATGCTGTCGTCCAATCAGCAGGCTACCACCTCATTACCCAGCAGTCAGCCCTCAATACGTATACAGCCCATCACATCTTCCACGTCATCACTTATATCAAATCCACTCAAGCGTAAACATGAGGATGATGATTATGACACATGATGTGTAACCATAACAACAGTGACCAAGACACGACATGTAACCAGGTGGACAGTGACCATGATGCACAACATGTAATCAGTAATGACAATCACACATCACATATCAGGTGGACAGTACTCCCACAACACACAACATGTAATCAGGTGGACAGTAACCACAACACACAACATGTAATCAGGTTGACAGTTACCACCAAACACAACATGTAATCAGGTGGACAGTTACCACCACACACAACATGTAATCAGGTGGACAGTTACCACCACACACAACATGTAATCAGGTTGACAGTTACCACCACACACAACATGTATTCAGGTGGACAGTGACCACCACACACAACATGTTATCAGGTGGGCAGTTAGCACCAAACACAACATGTTATCAGGTGGGCAGTTAGCACCAAACACAACATGTAATCAGGTGGGCAGTTACCACCACACACGACATGTAATCAGGTGGGCAGTTACCACCACACGCAACATGTAATCAGGTGGACAGTTACCACCACACACATGTAATCAGGTGGACAGTTACCACCACACACAACATGTAATCAGGTGGACAGTTACCACCACACACATGTAATCAGGTGGACAGTTACCACCACACACAACATGTAATCAGATGGACAGTTACCACCACACACAACATGTAATCAGGTGGACAGTTACCACCACACACAACATGTAATCAGGTGGACAGTTACCACCACACACAACATGTAATCAGGTGGACAGTTACCACCACACATGTAATCAGGTGGACAGTGACCACCACACACAACATGTAATCAGGTGGACAGTTACCACCACACACAACATGTAATCAGGTGGACAGTTACCACCACACACAACATGTAATCAGGTGGACAGTTACCACCACACACACACAACATGTAATCAGGTGGACAGTTACCACCACACACAACATGTAATCAGGTGGACAGTTACCACCACACACAACATGTAATCAGGTGGACAGTTACCACCACACATGTAATCAGGTGGACAGTGACCACCAAACAAAACATGTAATCAGGTGGACACTTACTACTACACACAACATGTAATCAGGTGGACAGTTACCACCACACACAACATGTAATCAGGTGGACAGTTACCACCACACACAACATGTAATCAGGTGGACAGTTACCACCACACACAACATGTAATCAGGTGGACAGTTACCACCACACACAACATGTAATCAGGTGGACAGTTACCACCACACACATGTAATCAGGTGGACAATTACCACCACACACAACATGTAATCAGGTGGACAGTTACCACCACACACAACATGTAATCAGGTGGACAGTTACACACAACATGTAATCAGGTGGACAGTTACCACCACACACAACATGTAATCAGGTGGACAGTTACCACCACACACAACATGTAATCAGGTGGACAGTTACCACCACACACAACATGTAATCAGGTGGACAGTTACCACCACACACAACATGTAATCAGGTGGACAGTTACCACCACACACAACATGTAATCAAGTGGACAGTTACCACCACACACAACATGTAATCAGGTGGACAGTTACCACCAAACACAACATGTAATCAGGTGGACAGTTACCACCACACACAACATGTAATCAGGTGGACAGTTACCACCACACACAACATGTAATCAGGTGGACAGTTACCACCAAACATGTAATCAGGTGGACAGTTACCTCCACACACAACATGTAATCAGGTGGACAGTTACCACCAAACACAACATGTAATCAGATGGACAGTGACCACCAAACAAAACATGTAATCAGGTGGACAGTTACCACCAAACAAAACATGTAATCAGGTGGACAGTTACCACCAAACACAACATGTAATCAGGTGGACAGTTACCACCAAACACAACATGTAATCAGGTGGACAGTTACCTCCACACACACCATGTAATCAGGTGGACAGTTACCACCACACACAACATGTAATCAGATGGACAGTTACCACCACACACAACATGTAATCAGGTGAACAGTTACCACCAAACACAACATGTAATCAGGTGGACAGTTACCACCACACACAACATGTAATCAGGTGGACAGTTACCACCCACACAACATGTAATCAGGTGGACAGTTACCACCACACACAACATGTAATCAGGTGGGCAGTTACCACCACACACAACATGTAATCAGGTGGACAGTTACCACCACACACAACATGTAATCAGGTGGACAGTTACCACCACACACAACATGTAATCAGGTGGACAGTTACCACCACACACATGTAATCAGGTGGACAGTTACCACCACACACATGTAATCAGGTGGACAGTTACCACCAAACACAACATGTAATCAGGTGGGCAGTTACCACCAAACACAACATGTAATCAGGTGGACAGTGACCACCAAACACAACATGTAATCAGGTGGGCAGTTACCACCAAACACAACATGTAATCAGGTGGACAGTTACCACCACACACATGTAATCAGGTGGACAGTTACCACCACACACATGTAATCAGGTGGACAGTTACCACCACACACAACATGTAATCAGGTGGGCAGTTACCACCACACACAACATGTAATCAGGTGGACAGTTACCACCACACACATGTAATCAGGTGGACAGTTACAATCACACACTACATGTAATCAGGTGAACAGTTACTACTACACACAACATGTAATCAGGTGGACAGTCACCTCCACACACAACATGTAATCAGGTTGACAGTTACCACCAAACACAACATGTAATCAGGTGGACAGTTACCACCACACACAACATGTAATCAGGTTGACAGTTACCACCAAACACAACATGTAATCAGGTGGACAGTCACCTCCACACACAACATGTAATCAGGTTGACAGTTACCACCAAACACACCATGTAATCAGGTGGACAGTCACCTCCACACACAACATGTAATCAGGTTGACAGTTACCACCAAACACAACATGTAATCAGGTGGACAATTACCACCACACACAACATGTAATCAGGTGGACAGTGACCACCACACACAACATGTAATCAGGTGGACAGTGACCACCAAACAAAACATGTAATCAGGTGGACAGTTACCACCACACACAACATGTAATCAGGTGGACAGTTACCACCACACACAACATGTAATCAGGTGGACAGTTACCACCACACACATGTAATCAGGTGGACAATTACCACCACACACGACATGTAATCAGGTGTACAGTTACCACCAAACATGTAATCCTGTGGACAGTGACTACAACATATATGTAATCCTGTGGACAATGACTACAACATATATGTAATCCTGTGGACAGTGACTACAACATATATGTAATCCTGTGGACAGTGACTACAACATATATGTAATCCTGTGGACAATGACTACAACATATATGTAATCAAGTGGACAGTTACCACCACACATGTAATCCTGTGGACAATGACTACAACATATATGTAATCCTGTGGACAGTGACTACAACATATATGTAATCCTGTGGACAGTGACTACAACATATATGTAATCCTGTGGGCAGTGACTACAACATATATGTAATCCTGTGGACAATGACTACAACATATATGTAATCAAGTGGACAGTTACCACCACACATGTAATCCTGTGGACAATGACTACAACATATATGTAATCCTGTGGACAGTGACTACAACATATATGTAATCCTGTGGACAGTGACTACAACATATATGTAATCCTGTGGACAGTGACTACAACATATATGTAATCCTGTGGACAGTGACTACAACATATATGTAATCCTGTGGACAGTGACTACAACATATATGTAATCCTGTGCACAATGACCACCACACATGTAATCCTGTGGACAATGACCACCACACACAATGATATTTTTGATATTTTGTTATGAAGACTTGTGAATAATAATTATGTATTTAGTGCTATATTTCACTGTTGTTTAGGTCACATGGCAAAATACTTAGATTAATTATGATACGTTAGATTTTGCAAACTGAATTTTTGATCCCTTGTGTTTGATATACTGAATGAGTGTTAAGTGAAGCATAAAAGGTGTGTGGAAGCATAAAAGGTGTGTGGTAGTAATGATGTACGGTTGTACAAGAAGCGATTTAATGGCGGCACTTTTTGTCTGGAAGGACATTAAGTATTAGATGAGTCATTTAACGTAAATTAAAGAAAATTGATTTGTAGAAGAGTTTTTTTCTTGTTGTGGTATAAGATGTTGTAAGGTGATTTTTATCATTAGAACTAGAGCATAATAGGATGATTCATGTGTTGATTTGATATCAAAAAATCCTGTAAGGAGAAGAATGTTTTCTGGTTTGAAATTTAAATGAAATTGAAAAGGATATACATGACTTCTGTTGATATTTATTTTAAACAAGGCAGTTTTTTATGGAAAACACTTTAGACTTTTGACTCACTTCCTGTCAATTATAGAATGGTTGTACATAATCTATCTCTCAGAGGAATATATTGTTGTTTAAATATGATAGAATATATAGAAGAGATTTAATACAAATGTATGTTTATACATTTTACGTTAAAATTGGTGTATGCATGTATGCCAGTTAAGGTGCAAGTGTATATGAAAATATATTTATGAGGAATCTTTGAACAGATATTGAATTGGTATCAAACTTTATGCATTAAATGTCATAAATACATGTGCTGTAGTCTGTTGTGTTTCTTCATCTTCAGTGTTGTTACTTAGTTTATGCCCAGAACGGTACTTTAATCTTACCAAGAATATAGTCAGCATGCCAGTCAATAAACATATTTTTTTTTACCTGAACTATTGTATTCTGACATTTTGATACACCGGTGTGTGAATCTTATTGGGCATAATGTTTTCTTGGAAACCAATGCCAAACGTTACACATGATTCGTTCTGCCCTATTAGCTGTTCATGCAAAAATCTGTCAGCTTTTTGCTAACGTGTGTCTGAAAAAAGGAGACAACATTGAGTTTGACCATTTGATCAAAGAAGAATTCCAATTTGGACATGAAATAAGTATTTCATTAATTATAATTTCAGTGACAAGTTAAGGAGTTTATTTTTTGCTTACCTGGTTTAAAGGGTGAAGCAGGACGAAGTTTGCAAAAAAAAAAAAAAAAAATGACGTTGACCTATATTCAATGTCACAAGAGCCGAATATTAAAACCTTCCAGTGATTTCTTCTAATTAACAAAAAGGCCTCGAATCATGATATATGGCTGATAGGTTCCCCGGGATGAAGCCCAATTAACTCTATGTCGTGTACCTGTTAAGAAATGGTCATTTCAAGATGGCGGACCTAGACGGCCACGAAAGGTAGGTGCTTTATTTTAGCTACAATGTCACTGGTATATTAATACCATCTGACCGTGATAATTACCTCGCGAAACTCAGAAATACTGTAAAGTTGTATTACAATATTTGTATGTTGCTGTAACGGTCATAAATAATTGTGAGCCTTCGGCATCGAGGCGGGACTTGCAGTTAAATATTGCTTATATCGAAACATTTCAGCAGTCTAAGGTTTATTTTCATTTTCAGGGAGACACCTCAATAACATCCGCTTTTAAGTGATGTGTCATTTATGTTCATCGCCCTAATATAATATTAACAAAAACAAAAGAAAACAACTTTTTTTACGTTACGGACTGGTCCTCGAGTATATAGCAACTTTGACAGAAAATGAAAAGGATTGGCTCAAAAAACATTTCCATTTCGGTTATGGATTGGTCCTACATGATGAAATTAACTAGTACACCTTAAAAGTCAATACCATACATAATGTCATACATCTTTTTCTTCTTCATGACAGATATCCTTTGATCAGGTACTATTATGATGGCTGCTAAGTACCATTGCTATGACTGCAATTTCGAAGGCTATAATTTTCAATATTTGGTTGACCATACATGCTCAACTCATGCAACAGAAAGATTGAAAATAAAAGCCTTTGAGCTTAATGCCATAATCGGTCGGAAAGGCTACTAAAAAAGGGTTTTACAAAATTTTCCAAACTAGAGACTCTGCAGTAACCAGAATCTGGTTTACTGGGTGGTTGCGTGGTGCAGTTGCAACGTCTTTCACCTGGCCGTCCGGGGTTCGATTCCCGGAATGGATGCGAAAAGGTATGGGGTCACCTGCCCGACCAACTGGGTTTTCCCCGGATACTCCGATTTCCTCTTATAGCAAGACCCCCTCGCGCGCCTCCATCCAGGCCAACAAGAGTGATTAGTATAAGATAGAAAAACTTGTTTCACAATTATTGTAAAATAAATAAAGTTTATTATCATACTGGTTCTTGATGAATCTGCGTCACATGTACATATCGCTGAGGACGAGTTAGCGCCAATGGAGAAATTGGATGTGTCGTTGTTCAACCTGTCGACGGACGATGTTCAGAGCCCCTACGATAAAAAAGAAAAGAACATCAACTCCGCTAAATGAATGCATTCTGAGCGACTCTAAAGCAAAGAGGACTTTGATTGAGAAGCAGTTTCTTTAAGATTCAGTTCTTGCAGAGGGAAATGAATTGCGAAGAGGTTATTAGATATGAGGTTCTGAATGTAAAAACTTCCCTTGCGTAATAATTTGTGGAAGTGTGCGATATTGATTTATAGAGTGCTGTATACAGAATTTAAGTGTCCTTGCTTTGAAATAGTGCAAAGTCTGAAAGAAAAAAAAAGGAAATTGCTTGTTGTTATATGTATATGTTTGACGAATCTAAGTAGCTGGCGTACTTACCGAGTGTATTTTTAACTGCCAAGATATATATCTAACTTCGGGAGCAACATTTTGTTATGTAAAACGTTCCCCATTTAGGGCTTGGACCAGAAATTTCAACGATACATTCCATTAAACGAAGATCACCTGTTAACTGTAGATCCCGACCAAACGATTTGAGACCAAAATAAGCGTATAAATTATATATATATATTGTATTAGGTTCTTCAAGTTCATTCTTGATTCCGTTGCAGTCATAAATTGGACCAATCCATAACCGAAATGGAACTGTTTTTGGAACCAGTCCGTAACATTTTTTGTCAAAGTTGCTATATACTTGAAGACCTGATCGTAACGTAAACAAGATTGTTTTCCTTCGTATTTGTTAATATTATAGGGCGATGAGCTGAAATGACACATCACTTAAAAGCGGATGTTAGTGAGGTGTCTCCCTGACAATGCAAATAAACCTTAGACTGCTTAAATGTTTCGATATGAGCAAAATTTCACAGCAAGTCCCGCCTCGATGCCGAATTCAACATTTCGCTCCACTTTGCGAAAGGCTCACAATTATTTATGACCATAACAGCAACATACACATATTGTAATACCAATTTCGAGTAATTCTGAGTTTCGCGAGGTAATTATCATGGTATTACTGTATTCATAAACCAGTGACTTTGCAGCTTAAAGAGAGCACCTACCTTTCGTGGCCATCTAGGTCTGCCATCTTGAAAAGACCAGTCCTTAACAGGTAAAGGAGAGTGTTACTGTGCAAGAAAGAAAATTATATTGACCCTTATTCAAAATCTCTGTGTCAAAGTTCTTTCGAACAACTTCTGTTGATACCAGAGATCATACTTACTACCACTCTGTGCATCCCTGGCACATTTCATTGCAAAATTGAAGGTTGCATGTGTAACACCTTGTGGATAAACTAAAAGGCTAGTTTAATCCTTTGATGTACATCACACAAACTGACTGGTAGCTTCTCAAGATCTCTGTCAAGGATGTAAAGTAATTTGTGAAAAGCACTAAATACCATATCAGCAATGCAAGGCCGCTAGGTCTCTAATTAACCATTGTATTTAATACTGATGTGCTAATGGAACCGCTTCATAAATGAATTGCATGGACTTAGAAATTACAAATTAACTCAAAAGAGAAGAACTGATGATGGTTTGAATCACAGGAACCAGTAGTGAATTGTCGATCCTCTCTTAGGTTACTAACATGAGTATATTTGTAATCGATGGGAGAAACAGCATAATACTACTGGTCCCTGGGATCTGAATAACATCATTTTATCGAAGGATTACACGAAAGACGCGCCAGTGAATCAACAACTTTATCGTCTTTCTTGTGATCGAGAGTGTTTAGTGCCTAAAGTGTATAAATTTATCAGGCGAGTGAGAAAATCATAAATGGTAGAAATGAAATATCAAAAGAGAGAAGTTTGACTTATTTTATTATTTCTTTACGTCCTCTTAACAGTCATGGTAATTTAAGTACGTGCCAGATGTGGTGATGGAGGAAAGCCAGAAGTCCCAGAGGACAAGAAAAAATACCAGTGTCTGGTGACTGCCCCACGTAGGCCTCGAACCGGCGACCAAGAGATGGAGGGCTAGTGATAAAGACGATCAGACGTAGATAGAAGAAGCGGTGAACTTGCCTCATCATTTAGATAATACCAAAACCATTTGATATCGGTTTCAAATTATGTTTTCTAGGCTTTATGTCATTCAGTTGATCAACTACGTATTGAGTTCATTTCACGAAGCCCAAAAGCACACTCTTGCGTCTAAAGGGAAATAATACTTGCTTACGATCAAATGGTATGGAAAAACCTGAATGAGGAAATTCGTCTCCACTTGCACAGATCAGAAAACTTTATATAAAAACAATCAAATGGACAACTTTTTATATCGACATGGGATTAGTAATCTCACAGGTATGGTGATTATTATTGTTTCGTTATGTATAATATGGAACAAATAAATAGTAAATGGATATGATGCATTATATAATCTGAAATTCAACACGGCAGTATTTAAACATTTATATACGATGCCAAATGTGTCCCTGAAAGGTGACTGTTATTAATAGGTGTTCACTGTCCTTAGATATGACCAATTTGTGACGTATACCTGCTGCCTGATATACAAGACTAATTCAAATGTTTGTAGTACTCTCATTTACCAAGGAAATTTTAACTGTGATACTCCACGCATTTAATCATTCGTGAATTACACTCATCATTAATTAAGTAAATTAAAAACAAAGGTTTAATACCTACACTGTTCACGCTATATAAAGAAACAGGAGACGGGTATTGAAGTGACTTGAAGTACAGAAATCATGTAACATGCTGAGGGGAACTGATATTCTTATCAAGAAGCTGATGACACTCAGTTCTATGGAACAACAACAATGGAAACATCCCTGTCCTTTCTGCTGTATTGTTACTATACAACAATGATGTGGAGCTTTCTACGTTCCGTGACCCATTGAATTACAGAAAACAAAAATTCATATGAAAATTTAATAATGGCGTGTACTTGTAAAAAAAAGAAAAGAATCTCAGGTGTTTACTGACATGACGGTTATGTCTTCCTGTACCTTATATACATTAGCAAGCTTACCTTACCTATAATGTTTTAGCTACTGTAAGATGAAATTGTCTATTCAACATTGTAGTAGAGGTTAAAGGAAACTAGCTCAATGGAAACAATTGTGTACAACGTATACATGCCTTTTTCATGGTTTTGATTTTCCAAGAGTATGTGTGATCGCTTTGTGTTTGTTTTATGTTCTATGTATGTGATGTAATTTATGTAAAATTGCGTCTTGATAAAGGGACAGGTTGTCTAGGAAATTTGATAATTCACGAGTCCCGTACTGTTGGTCCAGTTGTTAGGATCCAGGATTTCCAAATACTGTAGCTATCAATTAGCGTTACTAGTCAACTTCGGAATGCTCATATTTTTCTATTTTCTATGGCAGTTTCCCCTCCCTTCTTTTTTTGGAACATTTGGTATATGAAAAAAATGCTGAAAAAAATTCTACGAAAAGTTTCAGTGGTTAATATTGTTTGTTTGTTTGTTTGTTTTTTTGCCTTTTTCGGAATCAAGAAATAATTGAAATTCATATACCTGAGACACATTTGAAGTGTAGGTGTCTAAATCAGTTTGAAGTTTGTCCACCGACTTGCAGATGAAATGATTTTATGTAACAATTTTACCGATTAAAGATTGTTCCATAAATGAAAAAAATACAGTTTCTCCGTAGTACATAACATAATGCTAAGAAAAATACACTGTTGTCTTTGTTGTAGTACATGTGTAATATGGTGAATTGATAAGTTACCCTGACATGACTTTTATTAAACGTCGTATAATTAGCCCTGCGTTCGGCAGATGTGTGGTATCCTACAGATTCTATTTAAGGGAGACAATTCGTGTATGGTTCTTGTTTCCAGCATCACCTTTTTGCTGCATTGATCAACCAGTGATGTCATGCCCATACCGGAAACACAGCAAAATATTTCAGTGAGCATGCGCACATCAATATCAAACAATATGAACGACCAAAATGGCGACTACATTTAGCTCTGGAAGCCAGAGCCCTACATCACTTTCACGGACTATAGATCGTGTATTTGAGGATGCACAGCACACTGGTGAAATCAATTTAAGTGGAAGGAAATTAAAGGAGTATCCACAAAGTGTCGCCGTTAAATATGACTTGGTAGATACGATAGGAGCAGGTGAGTTTTGCATGTCCGATGACGGTTCTGTCAAAACGCCTCTACAAACTTACTACTAGTAAGGGTTTCTAAACTTTCATTAATAATCTGTTGGTAAGATGTCATCCGGTTGTTGTGATATCATGGAACAGTTCACTAACAAAATGGTTCACTATTACGTATTTCTGAAATTTTACAAAACGGAAAAATGATGTTGGGATGGGGAGCCGGCCCATGATTCATTGACGTCGATGGACCGGAACTGATAAGGTTTCTGTCTCGGGCAGAACAAAAAGGGTGTCTGTCTTTCTATTTATTAATCTTATGTTGACAAACACGTTGCCTTTACTGCCTTTATAGCCGAGTAATGTCCCTCAATTATATTGTAAGGCCACATGTTCATGGACAGGGTTGTTTTGATTCGAAATAAGACGGAACAGTTTACAGAACCAACGTGTTGTGTGAATTAGAAATCCGTAAACTTTTGGTTTGTTTTGTGAAAACACAACATGGTCGCTGACCTGGAAGGTCAACCAATAATAAATGTGGAACTAACAAAGACATCAGTGTGATATGTTGTGCTGGCTTTCTATTTGACTGATTACGTTTATGCGGAAATGAAATGTGAAGAGACTTGAGAGAATCATTCATTAGATTTGACTGGCCAGATCAATTGTGCAGTTATTGTATATTTGGAGCATTACATTCAAGCATGAAAACTTCCAAACAGAAAAAAAATTCAGTTTTATATACAAAGTTGCATATGGTAGTACAAAATAAAAAATAGTCTTTTATTTGGTAGGTCTATGTTGTTTATACTTTATTAAATAACAAATTGAACAGTGTAATAGCTTTGTTTAATACCTATAAAATAGCAGAATATATACCAGTGTGGCTTATATATGGGATGAAAAAAAGAAACATACAAGTACTAGAAGGTACTGAGTTTTCTTATGAGTACCTGTTCGTCACTGTTTGTGACTGAAACAGATGGTCCAGAACATCATGTACAATTATATACAGGATGATCTGAAAAATAACATTCTTGCAAATTTAATTAATTGTACCATTTAATACAAATCACAATAATATCTTCTGGACTTTTGCAAAGTCATAGCAGAAGTTTACAATAGCCTTTTGCATCCTGGGATCAATAGATCCTCAGTTTGTAAGTCAAATTCTAGAATTTGCTTCATGTTTGTTTACGATATGAATAGCTTTGTGTAGCTTACATGAAGAAATAATATGGGACTGTTAGAGTTTGGTAAGCATGCAAAGGTCTTCATTAATGTTTAACAGTACAGACACCGATGGAGAGATTATATAATAAACTGTATGTAAAGTCAGGCCCTTTATATGTGTGTATACAAACTGTGAAGGCACCCAAGCCAAGTGAGTTTGATATTTTTGCTATTTTACGTTTCTTTAAATATATGATAAAATACAGGATTATCTATGTATAATTCATTTGCAAACTTTATCAATTATTTCACTGACAATCTTGATAAATTGTCCTCTGTTGTCTGTTATATCAGTTAACTTTGTGGTCAACATAACAGTTACTACTTCATAAGAAAGAATGCGGCTTATATCCTAGTGCAGCTTATATGTGGATAAAATCTAAGAAATCAGTAAAAAATGGCTCTGAGGCTTATCTTAACTAGTGTGGCTTATTACCCAGAAAATACGGTATCTTCTGAAATGCATTTCTTTTTTTGTCTGTTTTTGGCGATATTCATTTTAATTAGCATACTTTTTAGGCAAGTCTCCACCTCTTTAATGGCTGTGGTGTATCAAAGTTGTGCTTCAGTTAGACCTGTGGGTTATACTGTGTATTGTAACCTCTTGCCGACAGCTGGAAATATAAAGACTGACAGTAGCTAGGTGTAAATAGATGATTCTACTTAACAGGTACTTTGTAGTTTATAAATAGATACAGGTAAATTGTCCTCTCTGCTGAAAGACTGTAAAAGTTCATACTTGTTAAATGAATAGATTTAAGGTAACACACAACTGGGTACATGGTTTTCACCTGGGCAGCTTGCTGTTGCTTATCACATTGAAACAAAAGGGTATAAATTGCTGTAAACGACATTGATCAGTATATTATCAGTTGCTTTAGTACAATAATAATAATAGTAATATTGAAAAAAAAATGAAATACAGACTTGTTTGTCACTGTTTGATAAAAAACGTAGGCAAGGTATGCCTTTTAATTTAGATTTTTTTTTGATGTTGTACACTATATCCTTAATGCACAATATACTTTGAATTCTGAAGATAATCCACAATATGTTCACCAATTTCTCAGCCCAGTCCGAAGTATATGTTGGTACATCATTTATATGTTAATCTCTCAGATCTGTTGAGAGGTCTTGGTTGGTCGGCCTATAGGCCTGTAATCTTTGTTCCAGGTGTTTGGTACCTCTTCAGACAACAAACCTGCAATAGGTGGCATTTATTTTTGGTAGTAAACAGCATGTTGGTCAAACAGGAAATGTGATAATTTATAAATAAAAAAAAAAAAGTCCAGTGGAATTTTGATGGGACTTAGAAAAGAATTTCTGGAAATACTTCAGTTTTTCATTGTGGGAACAATTGTTTCTGCAATAAAGTTAAAAATGACTTGCGGAAATAGTTTGTAGATTGATCACTGCTCATAGCCAGTGTAAGTCTAGATGTACAGATGTAAAGTCATATTGCAGCAGTACCATCACATTTCTGTATGGGAGACTGATATAGGTCAATTTTCCTTTACTAATACATCAACAGGGTTTATAAAGTCCCAATGCTATCTCATTGCAGATTGCTGGTCATCTATTTGAAAATATACTTTGTACTCATGATACTGTGGGAGCAAAGATATACAACATATTTCCTACATGTACTACATCTGTAGCTACTGGCAATCAGAATTGAGTCATTCTGTCAGTCAGGTTTTGATGTGTGACCCACATATATAATACCGTGTTTCTCCTACAAATAGCCCATGATGCATGTTTGAATTGGTAATATTTGTCATATTGCAGGGTAAATTTGGTAAAAAGACCTTTATGCATCTATGCATATAAAGCATTTAGAGCAATCACAATAAAGACTTCCTAAAGAGCATGATATGAGCATTGCTTTATCAAACATAAGATTTCTAAATGTATGATTTTCAAATGATATCAATGGATATAAGTGTCGGGTACACCGTTACCAAGTATCAGATTTCTATTAAGTGTTAAGTGTCTTGCCCATGGACACAACCACAACAATACAGACTTGTCAGTTTTTGAGCTTCCTGAGAAACACAAATTGCGGCAGGTAGGGAATGTCAAACTATGCCATGCTCCTCAGATCTTCATCATATGTTGCTTTCATACATCATATTCACATTGCATGCTCAAATTTTGTGTTTTGGTGAAATATCTCAATATATTCAGTGATTTTTGAGAATCAAATATTTGAGTCCTGGACTTCAGTTTTTCTTGTCGGATTGATTCAAATTTGAAGAACCAACTATATCTCTCTTTTTAGATGGACTTTCCAAAATTTTGGAAACAATGCTCTTGACTTACAAAAAAAAAATCTGTTAAAAATTACTGATATTTAGACCTGACCTATCAGATGTGTTTTTTGACTAATCAGTGTGACAGTCCTATATTTAGAGTGTATTTGGTGCAGTGTACTGTACGCCCTATCGGTATCCTGTAGTTTGGAGTGAGGAAGTTGCACGGATGTTTCAGCCTTAAGATAGACTGACTTCAGTACTAAAACATGATCAAATATTTTGTACTGCTGATATTGATCAATATCATGGCCTTCTACTATACAAATCGTTGTGATTGTATTACTAAAGCAGTAAAGATGTTGCTCCAAGTTTACAGTGGATGCAATGTTTAGGAGCAATTTGTTGCAAACGTCTGCACTGTTTGGAGAGTGTATTTGCTGTCTAATCAATATTTATGTTTTTCCTTTATCATCTCCTGCGTGACTTTCTGCAGCTGGCTGACCATTCTGAATCAGCTTCATCAAATATCTGTCTAGAAAATGATTAGTATATAAATTAGTTTTCTTCATTGTCCTTGCTATTAAATATGGTCAACCTTTGCCTTATACCTGAGTACATTCTGGTACAGAATAGCTTTTAATACATGGTATTTTACATGTACGTTTGGTTGAATCTTGTTTATTTGATTGCTGCTATGTCTTAACTAGAACTAGTAAATTGAGAGTGCATCATTTAGTGGATCATATGTTTGTTAGATCTAATGTTAGTTTACTGTTCAAACAAGTTTAAAGTGACAAGTTGTACTTTTGTGACTTACAGAACTGCTGTCAAACGTTAACCCTTTTGTGAAGATCTTTATAATTAAATCTTAAAATTTTACATTAGAACAGTCATATAAAAGGGATGATTATATGCAGATATAGTTGGATCATTTAGGTCAACTGACCTGAATGGTTAGGATGACCTTATATAGCTATCATATTTCACCCAAAATTACAAATGTTTTAAAATCTCTAATCTTTAAACAACTTCTTCTCAATTATAAAATGACCCACTTTGCTGATATTAGACCAGTAGCATGCTTCGATAAAGAGCTGCCAATTTTGGTCAAATACATAGCCTTGACCCACTTTCAAGATCCCAGGGGTCAATTGTGTTGAAGACTTCTTAATAACCAAAAGGTCATAGCCATTGATTTGGTTCTGTAACATAGTTGGATGAAGGGCTACCAAATTCTTTCAAATGACCCACTTTCAAGGTTACTGGGGTCAGTTATGTTGAAGACTTTGAATTTATTCATTCAAAAAGTGCTAGGCCCTAGATTACAGTATTTTTGTAATAACATGCTTGAAGAGTAGGATTTCAAGTTTACAGATGTTGATTTCATGAACAGACAAACTCTTCTGTGTAAGTTGGTGAACAGGTGAGCAGGTCAGGTCCATTGAGCCTCTCTCATATGTGTCTTTAAAGTCAGATGGCCGTTAAAGACTCTGGGCCTTTGTTGTTGAGGATTTGTATTTAGTGTTTAAGCTACTGTCCATCTGATGGATGTGTGACTATAGCTGTTAAATATTGATCCCCAACCATGTTTGTTTAATGAATTCTTCAAACAGTATAAAGTGAGTCTGTGGAATAATTTCCCAAATGGAAAGCAACGACTATTAATAGCTTCTGTCCTAATAGGTTCTGCAGAATTTTACACAAGTTAATGATAATTATCAGGAACAAGATAATGCTTGGTTGACATTGGCTTTTGTTGTAAAGCACTTGCCTTACAAAATAGTTTGTATGCTTTTCCAAAGTCAATATGTATTAATTACTGAGGTCATGGTCAACAGATGCTACCTAAAATAGCAGAATTTGATGTTTAGGAAGATACTATGTGAATGCTTTCTATTTTTGTTTAGATACTTTTTATTATACTATATACCATACACACATACATGAAAGGCCATGTGGAGTCTTTCAGCTATGATTATGGTTTGTGATAAAGGCTCATAAGAAATTCTTGGCAGATCTGGCATTGTTTCCTCAATAGCATTTGCCAACATTGCAGTAGAATCGATGTCAGAGCTAAGTATGTAATAATAGGTCTAAATTAAAGTACATCTTTTGAACATCAAAATATTATCACTTGTCAATTCTTTATAAAGTAAAGAAGTTAAGAGACACAAAAACTGCAATGTGCCCAATGTAAATTACAACTACATGTAAAAGAAATTCCCAAGATTGTCTGCATATATTGAATTGGAATTAGATTACATTAAAAAAATTTGAAGCAAAAACATTTATGATAGTAACATCTATTTGAAAAAATAGTTCTACACATGGGAGTAGGTCAGTGAAACTAATTAAAATTTTACAGAGATATATTAGGTCTAACCAAGACACGATTTCAGGAATATGTTTGAGACTGGTGCAATCTTCACAAAATGACACATTGGGTCTCCTTGAGAGACTTGGGAGTATGTCAGTGAGACTTGTATACATTTTACAATGAGACATATGAGATCTTCCTGAGACACATTTGAGGATTATCTACAAGTGAACTAATGTAAATTGACGAAGAGAGAAATTGAGTCTCCGTGAGACACACTACATTGGAGTACTTTTCAACAGTGTGCCATTACATTAACATAAGCAGTACGTTCTGCAGACAACATAAATTGAAGAAGAAAATGTGCGTACATGACAGTATATTTTACAGCAGGTACATGTTACACTGCTGTGTATTTGTATATAGAGTATAGTGCTGAATCATCCAATATCTAAATCAAATATAACCATTTATAAATTATGCATACAAGTCTCAAGTAGCTGTACATGTGTCTTATACAGGAAGTGTAGCCTTGCTTTGTAGAGCAATTACAAAAAACACTGTGAGTGCCAGATTCAGCGACATGTGTACAACTACACATGAATACAGTATGAGTCATTAGGATGTTCATTTACTATTGCAAAAACACATAGTAAGTACAATATTGGTGCTAATAACAGCCCAGGAGAGTGATTAAAATATCAGGTGTAAAGAAGTGAAATAGACTGGTGAATTGAAAAAATAGTAATTTTAGAGGCTTAACTATATACCAGATATGTCATTTCAATGAAGAAGGCAATGGGATACTGAAGCAACTGAGCACAGTGTCTAATGTACTCTGTGTCATAATTAAACACTTTTGATTCCTTCGTTAATGTGATATTACATTTTGTAATAAATAATTGTGGTAAACCTACTAAGTAGGGGTATATTATGTAGAAGTCACAAATTGTGCATACACATCTCTAATTAACATACTTGAAACATCTTGTGTACAAGACATAGTCTAAGGTATGAAGCTGATTTACAAATACTGGTTGAAATATCAGGGTCCAGCAAAAAGTTTCCAAAGCACTTGTCAATCAGACTAGTGGCCCAGTGAAAAGTGTTCGTCTGGACAAGTAATTCATCAGTTGGAAAATTTATATTAGAAATTTTCAAAACCATATATAGAGCATTCACACATTGTGTATCAGGCTTTGATTTTAACTGTGATTCAAATGTTGGTATGTGGTGAACTGTTACCAACAGTGTGTGTACTCATAACTAACACTATTTGAAAAATGTCCAATGAAAGAGTTTGTATAATCATCACTGAGTAGGTGATTTTTCGTGGCCAATTGCAATATATTTTTTTTAAGATCCTGTAGAAAACATTATGCTACTAGAGGATATTCATAAGAAAGATGAAAGAAGAAAAAGATGTCACTTTTGTGATTTAAAATTGTTATTAAATCATAGGTGATAACAAGGATACATCATTTCCTGATGTGAAACTAGGGATTTAACTTTATTTATCTGTCATATTGTCAATGATGTTTTTAAACTCTATATTGAATTTTGGGACTTACATATATATTGGACCCCTGGACTCATGTTTTGCCTGTGGAACCCATCCACATTAGGGGACTAAAACTGCTTTGCTTATGGAAAGAGCACATGCATGCCACGCAGTGAACTAATGATGAATAACAATAAGACATTGTCAGGTGATGCTGATCAGTCTGTCATATAAAAATGTAAAAGGAAACACAAAATTAAACTTAATCATTGTGATCTGAATCTATTTTTTAGGCATCAGTTAAAAAATTGCAGATCTGGCACCCATATACAAGACATTTGATCTTCGGCTGTATCATGTTGAATGTAATTGATTTAACAGTACCTCATCATGTTTGTTTTACCTTGAGTTTATAAAAACATGAATTTGTTGCTGTATTAGTTAATGAAATAAAGAGAATACAACAGATGTTTCCTAACAAGACACTGTGACAGAGGAAATGCTAGAATCCTTTTATAGCAAATCATGTTGATAAATTTAACAAATTTCAATGCTTCATTTTGGATGTGCATTTTAGTATCACTGTTCTACTTTTTGTACCTTTCTATTTATCAAAATCAGAACTGTACAAGAATTGTCGAGATGCCAGCTCAGCAAGTGGTTTATGTGAGAGGTTGACTGTATTCAGAGGTCAATACTGTACAGAAAAATGTGTATGGTTTTACGATCTGCCACTGAAAACACTCCAAACCTTCATCTGTAGCATTTCTCCTTCCAACACTGATTGTCTGCCAAATATTCAATACAAATCCCTGAACAGTAATGGTTGGTCTTAAATGTTTCAGATCAATTTACTGTTATGTTAAATGCATTTCCATAATCATAAAACTTTCTGTCAATATGAATTTCATTAATTTATGTTTAAGCTTTCTGATATAATTTTAGGTCAGGGATATGGGAATCTGTGGAATCTGTAGAATTATGGGGGACAAAACCAAGAATATTCATACATATCCTGCCAAGTTCAATATAATAACATAATAACACCTTCCCCCCCTCCCCCCACTCCCCCACCCCACTTATTCACTATCAAGCTGAATACACCAATAAACACGGTAGGTTTTCAAGATAATAGAAAAATGTACAAAAACTAAATACAAAACCAAGTTTTGTTGCATGAATTCATATTAGCAAGTAAAATCTAAATGTATTATATTTGATTATTAATATTTTCAGATCTGTCCAAGAACAGACTACAAGATGTCCCAAAGGAGGTGTGTGACTTTGGGTCAATGGAGAAACTCAACTGCTACCATAATGTGCTTAAATTTCTCCCTGACGCCTTGGTCCAGCTACAGGCTCTCACCCATCTTAACCTCAGGTAAGTGACATGTGCACTACTTGTCTTTGCCCATCTTTATTTTGGTAACAGAGGTGTTAAGTTCAGTTATTCTAATTACAGGCCATCACCCTGTTTAATCTCAGGTAAAATGAGGCTTAGTCCAATGACAGGCCATCACCCTATTTAATCTCAGGTAAAATGAGGCTTAGTCCAATTACAGGCCATCACCCTACTTAATCTCAGGTAAAATGAGGTTTAGTCCAATGACAGGCCATCACCCTATTTAATCTCAGGTAAAATGAGGTTTAGTCCAATGACAGGCCATCACCCTACTTAATCTCAGGTAAAATGAGGTTTAGTCCAATGACAGGCCATCACCCTATTTAATCTCAGGTAAAATGAGGTTTAGTCCAATGACAGGCCATCACCGTACTTAATCTCAGGTAAAAGGAGGTTTAGTCCAATGACAGGCCATCACCCAACATAACCTTGGGTGAAGCCAGACTTAGTTAAATTACAGTCGTTCAACCATCCTAACCTTGGGTAATTTCAGTTCTCTGAACATTGTGACAAGGCCTATGCATGTGAAATGTAGACAGATGGTCATGATCTCATTGCTTAGAAGTAGAATTTATAAACATGTTCACAATCAACATATGGTGGTTTTATATTATAGAATTTTCTTGACAATTAATAAAAATCCAGCTTTGAAAAAAAATTGAAATAAAATCCAGCTATTACCAAATTTATTTTTTAATGACTGGAACTATAAATTTAAACTAATTCAATTTCTTCTTAATTATTTGAAGAAGTTTAAACTAATTAACACCTATATTTGAATCATGTAACAGGTTAATTTGTATGCACACACATAATGTTATTAATCTAGACTTTGCATGCATATTGGATGCTATCACGTCTTGGCACAGTCACCAAAGGGGTGCAAAGGAAAGCCAAGTAGGATTCATTATATCCCCATTTCAATAAAGGAGAAGAAAAAATCAATTTTGCTCTGCAAGTCTCATGTACATATCCATACATGTACAAATTGAAGTCCCATCTGTTTTTGTCTTAATGAAATGGAGTTACTGCCCTTTTTTGATCATGGGTATTGTAAGTTTTCTTAGTCAATTTCTTTGAACCTTTGCAGGGTTAATTATTGGCATCAAACATAACACTGTGTGAGATTTCTATTTTGGGAGGGCAATAATTTTACCCTTATTGTGACAGTAGTTATTTTGGGATGAGGTGCCTTGCTTATAAAATCTTGTATTTTTGACTTGTTAATATACTGGTGTACACCAGTGTTAGTAATAAAAGGGATTCAGTGTATTTGTACCATTAATAGGTGGGGACATTAAATCATTGGCTGCATGTGTGCAGCGTAACAAAAGTGTTCCTTCTTATAAAAGGAAAGGTGGTTTTCTGGCCTGTGATAAACTCCAGTCTGTCTTTTGAACCGTGAATATCAAACAATTTGTTTCCTGATTTCAGAGCTTGATTTCATCACATTTTGCAAATTCTATTCAAGCCTGGATGATTCAGATGAATGACAGAACATTTTAATAAAAGAAACAAGACCAATATTGCTAGATACAACTTTTACAAATGGCATCATTTTTCATGCACAAGCAAACGGATGTAGATTGTATTTTTGTTTTGTTTATTTGATTTTACATCCAGATGATAATTAAGGGGCCAAGTAATGAACATTTTACAAAAATCGCCTTGTTTCTGATTCCCTATATCTCAGTCCCCATTAAGAATTGAATCAGCTCAACAGACCTAGTGAAATTGCTGTTTTTCTCCCTTTGTCTCAACAAATTTCTTTTTTAACCAAACTGAATATAATATTGTTAGACAAGTCAGGCAGGTTTTGTGGAGCTGCTATCTGACAATATATCATTCTGCAGGTACTGTTTCTGCATACTGTGGTTTATTGTACCGGTTTGTCTCACATTGTGGTGGAAATTTGTAAAAGGATTCCAAAAGCTTACAACTGTAAAACTTCTAGCAATCAGATAAGTAGATTCCAAGTATTTAGACATTCTTGTTTATGTCTGGGGATGAAGAAAGAAAAGATCATGGGTCTATATAGATAGTATTACTGCTCTGAGCTAATGTGAAAGATGAAGAAGTGAATTTCTATCCTTTTTGCATAGTGTAGCAGGTCTTATAAAACTGTAATTCCAAGGTTTCCTTGACGTCATGTGACTTATGTTCAAGCAATAAATGAAAACCTACAGAAAATGATAAAGATTACAAAGCACACACATGTACATCCATTTTATTTCTAGGTGTTTGATGTCAATCTGTAATTTCTAGAAAAAATATAAGAATTGATAAATTGTGTTGCTTCTTTTGGAAAAAAAGGGAGAAAAAATGCCAAGTTGTTTGTAGTACTAGGTTACCTGTATGCCCTGTAGGTTAGATTTTATAAATAATACTGATAAATTTTCAATGAAGCCATATACTGATGCTTAGAGAAACCTGTTACGTCAACAAATGGTTATAATAACATTACCTCGTTAAATACCATCAATTAGAGTCAAGTATGTTATCCGTTAATCAAGTGAATGCCAGGAGCTGACAGAACAAATAATCAGTTGTAGGATATGATACTGTACCATGTGACAATGCACACCTTGGACAATGAAGATGACAATGACGATAATGATAACATGGAAGTTAACATAGCCCAAATTCTTACCATTTCCGAGGCAAAGGTGGCGCTGGACACGGTTTTGAGATTTTTTAAACACAAACACTCTACAACAGAGTCAGATATTCAAAAATATTTATCTTTACAGAATATATTAGAGACCATAAAACGAAGTATGGGAAGACAACCAAGTATCAGTGATTTCTTTTGTAAGGTCTTACATAATTTCATGAAATGTTTTCGAGAATACAAGTAAATAATCAATTTCATGCACATTGTACATATGTGTTTCATTTGTGACACTTCTTGAAAAACATTCTTTTTCAAAAGATTTGTCATAATAAACCATATTTTAAAAGGAAAATGTTCTGATGTTATGTTGAAAATACATGTAGACTGTACTGCAGTGAGTCAAGATGGTCCCTGATGGTGTGTAAACTCCCAAAGTCGAACAGTAAACCTGATATACAGCCCAACTCTTTATACTGCCAAAATTACATTGAACAGAAGTTGATATTTTAATGGGATTTGACTATATAGCCTGTCAGTGTTTGCTGGAAATGTTTTACCTGCAGCATTTGACCTACATTTTTGACTTTCTTTGTCCTTGCTAGATGTTTTGTTTGGCTTCATTTCTAAGTTAGTACGGTACCACAGCTTTCAAACAGTTTATTTGTGGAAAGATAATCACTGCATTTCTACATACAGCATCCCTTAACTTCAACAATTTATATTTACAGACAGAACACCATTATTTCTTCCTTTACCATATTGATACAGAGATCACAATTACTTTTACATGCTGTGCCAGACAGAATTGAAGCCCATTACATGTTGGACAGCCAGGACAAAACATGTACAAAATCATTGGCACCATGGATCAATGCCTGTACAAACCTACCATGCATACCAAATATAACATGATCATTGTTGGCCATCCATAAAAATTGTTCAGGATCAGTTACAATGTTGCCCAGGTCTTTCTATAAATTAAAGTTTACATCATGTAAATAAAATATATATTATCAAACCATTAATGTGTAAGTATCCTTTGAAAATCATCCCAGAAGAATTAAATTTGAGGATTTTAAAATTGAAATATTAAATTATAAAGAATGTTTGAACAAATTTTATTGATGAGGTTGTGACTCTGCTAACTATAAAAAGGTTATAAAAGGCAGCATTTTTAATTGATACACATTCATGTATCTGGATCTGTAGCAAGCTTGCATTAAATATGACTGACTACATACAGAAAGTGATACACAGACAGGAACTGGAGAGGACTGTCAGCCCATTTAGATAGATTAGTACTGAAGGTTCAAATGCTAACACTTAAAAGGAAATGAAAGTGAGCTATGCCAGAGGATCAGTTAGGAGAGAGAGAGTACTGCTGGAGGCCGATCAAGTTTTCTCTGATGTCTTCTGTCATGAAATATTTGTGAATTCATCACATTTAGTAGTTGTTGGTCAGTGTCCATCAGAGAAACTTTTCCTAGAATGTTGTATTGCGGAAAAAAATTCAGACATGTTTAGCTATTACAATAAATGAATTCCTCAAGAAAACAGTTCATATCTATAAAATAGCAAGAAAACAGTTCATATCTATAAAATAGCAAGAAAACAGTTCATATCTATAAACAAAGCAAGAAAATAGTTTATATAACATTGCAAGAAATGGTGTATATTTATAAACAGTAGCTTTAATACATTTCCTTCTCGTTGATTTATGTCCAAAATTATTGCGAGTGCATTGCATGTAGTTTGAGTTTATTGTATACCTTATATGTTTTTGATGGATTCAAATTTGTGATTTTCCTTGGCACTTGGTTTGATCTTGCTTATGAGTACTATGATTCATTTTAGCTTTGATCTGTTTATTTGAGATCTATATAAATTTGTAGATTTAGAGAGCTCACAGATTCAGCTATACTAAATCTCCCACAAAAATTAGTGATATTACAGCATATGTAGTTGTGATAACAAACCTAAGTCACCATGATTCTTATGGTTGTACATTTTGTATAATACACTGTAAAGTTGGTTATGTGTGGTATATATCAATTAATCATCAATCTGACAGAGTAGAAAAATAAAGAAATATAAACCATTTATCAGCCTGAAAAAAATGTGAAAAAATGAAAAATGCATAATTCATTGATTGTATGATTTGTCTGGGGTAAAATTTTCTATGAATAACAAATAAGTCGTGGTTCTTGGTTTGAACAGTTGGTTATAGCTATGGGCATAGAATTCAGGAAAAATGTGATGTGTGTCCTGCCAAGCTTGATTTCATTGTATTACCATGACAACTATGAGAGATTATGGCCTTTTCTGTATTATTCATGCTGTTTACATTATATAGATACATGTTCTG